TAAATCTTGCATGCTTTGGTGACTTTTTCAATTTCTATATCCTCATGAATAATTTTTAAAAAGCACAGATTAACAAACTGGAATTCCCAACCAGCACTATCAGTACTATCTGGGAGCTTTTCACAAATGAAAATCCGAAGTGCCACCCTTGACCTACAGCACCAGATGTCCAAGCGATTCGCGTATTACAGTTAGTGAAACACTACCAAATCCGTATGTCACTGAATCCTCAAAACAACCCTGTGAAATATGACTATACCCATTTTACAAATGAGGAAGCCTAAGCCCAGAAAGTTAAATGACTTACCAAAAGTCACAAAGCCATCAATATTGGGAGATGCCATTCAAACTCAAACATACCTTTAAAAAAGCATTTCTACAATGTATTGTCTCTCACAGAAAAAAGTCAGAATAGTATTATCTAATAGAAATATAACGCAAACCACATATGTAATTTCAAATTTTCTATTAGCCCCATTAGTAATAATAAAAAGAGGCTGGGGGTCATGGTTCATGCCTGTAATCCCAGCACTTTGGGGGTAATGAGGCAGGAGGATGGCTTAAGCCCAAGACCAGCCTGGGCAAGATGGTGAGACTCCCATTTCTACAAAAATAATAAAAAGAAACAGGTAAAATTAATTTCAATAATATATTTTATTTAACCCAACGTTTCTACATTACCACTTCAATATGTTTCAGTATAGTTAATGTAATATTTTATGTTCTTTGGTTAAGTGTATGCATACTCTTTGAAATCCAGTATCTATTTTACACTTAGAGCACAACTTAATTCAGACTGGACACATGTTAAGAGCTCAATAGCTCCGTGTGGCTAGCTGGTCTAGAATGTCTCGCATATTAATCTTTTTAAATACAAAACTGTCAAGTCACTACAGAAATCATTTAATAGAGACAATGAATTCAATGTTAATTTACCTAAACTTCTGCTGAAGACAGATAAGAAAACTGCATATTCTGTTATAAGCAAAGTTAACAGGTTTAGGGAGGCCCAATTCTGCCAAACTGACCCATCACCTATTAACTCTGAGAATTTATACAGTTGACCCTTGAACAATGTGAGGAGTTAAGAGTGTCTACCCGCTACACAGTCAAAATTCCATGTCAACTTTTGACTTCCCAAAAACTTAACTACTATTACCCTAACTATTGGTCGGACATTTTACTGATAACATAAACAATGGATTAATATACATTTTGTATGTATTATATACTGCATTCTTGCAATAAACTAGAAAAAAGAAAATGTTATTACAAAATCATAAGGTAGAAAAATATGTTTACATTCATTTAGTGGAAAGGGATCACCATAAAGGTCTTCATCCTTTTCAGGAGCAGGAGAAAGAGGAGGCATTGGTTTTCTCTCTCAGGGGTGGCAGTGGCAGAAAAAAAAAAAATCCTTGTATAAGTGGAACTGCACAGTTCAAACCCTTGTTCAATGGTCAACTGTAATGTCAACTGGGCACATGCCTAGGGAATACATACAACACTTGGAACAGTTATGTGAAGAAGCCCTCAGAAAACATCTATATTATTTGAAACCAAAGATCTTAAAGTTGGAGGACAAGGGATGCTTTTATTTTAACGAATGGGGGTATGTAAAACAGAACCGTGTAACTTTAACTACAGGCCCGAATTAATTTGCCAAACATAAATAACTCAAACATACATAATTTCTATTGGAATGAAAGACTTGAAAATTTTACACCAAACTTAATACGATGATCTATTAAGAAGGTAGCATTAAAAAAGAAAAGAAAAGAAAAAGTCTAAAACCAAGTTGGATAATCTGCCCCTAACAATTCTGGAGGAAAAAAAAGTGACAGGCAAAACTTAAAAATATACAAAGGATTTTAGAGATTATCAATGAATTTAAATCTTGACCCACTCAAACAAGTGAAAAATAAATATAACTAAAAAATGAAGTAATATTGTACAATTTACAACTTGTAACGACTCAAAATATTCACCCTCCCACTTTTCCAGTCAGTCACAAGCTCAAAATCAAGTTTTTTTCAGGTAATAGATTCAAGCAAATGATTATCCTTCATCAAAGAAAAAGATGAGAATATAACATCAATATAGATACATATAAAAACAGAGACAAATATCAATTATAAACATTTTAAAAATTCCTGTATTTTTCTAATTATTAACAGCTAATGCTTAATGAAATTTTTGCCATTTCTTCAAAATACACAAAACAGGAAATGTTCTACATGAAAGCACTCAGTGACAGAAAGAAAATATATTTGAAATATTCCAACTTTTGCTATACAACTCAAAATATATATATACACACACATAAAAGGAGTAGATAAATCAGGTGTGAGTTAGCAGATACATCTTAGTATTTTTTATGAACGACTCCCAAATTGAGAGATGTAACTAAATGCCCTAATATTTCCATTTTTAGCCCTCATCATCACCTGCTAAAAATGAGCTAAGAAAAAGCATAGGTCATACTCGAAAACTTCAACAAAACTCACTGCAACTAAATGGGGTCTGATACTTTAAAGAATATTTCCCTTTAAAAACGTTACTATGTGGCAATCTACTTATTGACCTCACAATCTTTATACTAGCGCTTTAAACCCTTCAATTTTTCTCAAAACAACAACAAAAAAGTGGGCTTTGCATTTTATTTCAAAACATGAGATATAAAAGTGAACAAATCTTTTAATAATATCAAACACAGATGTTTCTTAGCCAGCAACCATTTCATAAATAAGAAAGGCTCTTTGGCAAATTATCTGTGTGACTTTGGTCAAGTCATAACCCCCAGTGTTTTGTTATCTCGTCCTACTTTATATTTTACGTTCTAAATGCTTTAATTAGCAGTCAGTTAACAACCATTTTGGATTTAAATTAACCCAAAAGGTAATAAGCCATGAAAACTAAAGATAGTTCATAAGTAAGCACAGGTGGTTGTAGCCAAGTGTTAAATAAATTGGTTTCTATACCCAAAAAGATTGTTCCCGATCCAGCCTGTTGTTTTCACAAATTGAGACTCCTCAGGCACAAGGGAACCAGGTAAGAGAATGGAAAAGGCTCAGTACCTTTTATTACTAACACCGAAGAAAAATACACATTCGAATTCCCAACTGACAGTGCTGTTAGACGTTTCATGCTAGTATATGGCTAGCACATAAAATAATATTCTTTAAACAGATAGATATTGTGAAAACAGAAAATTTAATATCCTTTTCTTCTAACTCAAAATATCGTTTTGGATCCTTTTAAAAAAAAATGTCTGTTCCTTTCTTCTGACAATGTAAGTTGGTGGAGACTGAAACAAAACACTTTGCAAGTGGACATCGCCTTTACAAAACAGTTAATTGTTTTTTCTTCCTCTTGTCTAAAGACCAGCTATTTGGACAAAGTTTTCCTGATGATTATAATTCTACCAAGTTCTGAACAACCATCGAAGAAAAGAAAAACTAAATGTATTTCCATTCTGCCCACAGCATACACTGGCCCATTTGAGACACAAATTGTAAACGAAAGATTGGGCTGAACAACATCCTCCACTTTAAAATATACAAGGCACCAAAACAAACACATCCAAAATCTATTTTTAGAGTGGCATTCACTCTTCCAGTTTTCTCTTTAAAATGAGATTTACTTGACCTATTTTCATGTGTTTTTAGGGCACCAAGACAGTCCACAAAAACAGTATTTGCTAGTCATAAAACAGCAAAGGCACAATCACAAATCCTGTTATTTGTGTGGGATATTTTCTTCATGTGTCCTTACGTGCCATGTCTTAAAAGTCTAAATATAGATTCACTGACTAAAATGTCCTAAGTCTTCCAGATTTATAATTATATACTGCATTGAATGCCAATATTATACGTTCACATCCCATTTGAAAAGTACACACACGGGGTGGGGGTGATGTGCCCAGCACCTGAAATGTCAATCATACAAAGAACAAAGCGTTCCCCATCATCTTTTGGCTTTCTTCTCTCCTCAGTTGTACATTGTTTCAATATTACAAAAATATCACTTAAAATGTTCAAAACTTGAGAAATAAGTGCTCACTAAAACGGCACTTAAATTAAAACGTATACCAAAATGATGAACGAGAAAAGATTCTTGTTGCCAGGATGTGTGTGTAAACTTACAGTCCTGTGGAGAGGACGGTTCCCTCTCCACATTCTTAAAAATAATTTTACATTCTTTAGAAGCCTTTGAAAAATAAATAGCGACAACAATGGAAGACCCGCACTCCTTCAGACTGGATGGAGGGTAGGAAGAGAACTCCCCACCCAACAACCAGAACAAAGCAACAGCCTCGGCTTTTAAGATGTACAGAGGGTCTGGAGGCTCAAGGGACATTCTGAGACCTCTTAATTGTTCCGATGCTTTAACAGCCGTCAAAACAGCTAAGAATATGCAATGCGGGGCTTCACTAGGACAAGGTGCAGGAATGCTCTCTTCGTATTAGGCAAGACCGAGACACTGAGCAGGAGGAGAAAAAGGAGGAAGAGAAAGAGCAGAGAAAGCAGCAGCCAGAGACACTCCGGGAAAAGACAAAATGCAGACTGTACGCCCTGGCTTCGATCTGACCCAAGGCCCAAAGTGTCTGACCCCACACGGGAAACAGGGAGCAGGCTACTGCCAAAAAACCATCGCCGCCCCTACACCTCGAGGCCAGAAGGTCCCCGCGTAGAGGCCTGACACCACGGCCCAGGGGGAGGAGAGGGACCCGCCTGCTACCCGAGGCACCGACGCGGGCTCCGGCGGAAGAGGCTGCGCAGTAATGGCCGCTGCTCCGCCCCTCGCACCCCGACCGAGACCAGCTCAGGCCGTCACCCAGGGCAGGGTCTGCGGCGCCCTCGGGCAGCACAGGGGCTGTCACGGCCGTCTAGCCTGCGACCGCAGCCAAGGCTGGGGTGGCGGAAAAGGCTGAGCTGTCCCATCCCGCCTCTGCGCGGGCAGCCGCGGCCGCGCCAGCCCAAGGGCGTCCATCTACGTACCGGCCCCTGACCCCGCCGCCGCCCCTCTCAGGCCCCGAGCGCAAGGCCGACCCGGAGTACGTCGCGGCTGAAGGTGACACCGCGAGCTATGCTTCCTCTCCCCCAGTGAGGGTCCTGGAGTGGCCGGAGTTCTCCCTGCTCCCCCGACAGGGCCTCGCTCCGACTGCCACCTCTCTGGCCACAGCAGCGGACACCTCGCAGTCTTTTTCTCTCCGGCCTCTGAGCCCGCAGCGGCCGGGGACGCGCGCGGCCCTCACGTGACCACCCGGCGCGTCGCGGGGGCGGGGCCGCGCGGGGCGGAAGCCGCGCCGCGCACCCGCGGGCTCGCTCCGGCGTCTCTTCGTTCCGTCCCGGTTTCGCGCCGCTGCCTGCCTGCACTCTCCTGCCTGTGGGGATCCGCGACTTCGCTGCTTGGATCCTTCTGGCTGCTTTAGAGTGTACTTTGTTTGTATTAGGGGCCAGAGGCTCTGAAAGAATGCAGCTCCAGCAAGCAGATTTGGGGTGGAGGAAGTAAAACGCGTGTAGGAACTGCAGGTGGTGCTGCGCAGAAATCCAGTTTTGCGATCCGGGAGAAGCCCTGGGGTGCCTAGCCGAGTTTCGGCTTGAAGATCCCCTGGCAAAAGAACTGCTTTTCCCTTTCAAGAAATAAAAAAGGGTGGTGGGGGGCGGACCGAGGGGGTAGAGTATTCTAGGGCTTTCTAATTTATTCACCTTTTTAATGGTTGAGCAATTTAATCGGGAAAAGCATGGATATTACTTTCCCTTTGAACCCCTCCTTTTTTAAAAAAAAAAAAACAGAATAGTGCTTGAAAAACTGGAGAAAGAAATTAATCTGCATGAGAATCTAAAATTAAAGAGGTTATTTTGATCGCAAGCCTGTGGTTTAAAACATCAGAACTCTAGCAGTATTCACCATTTTCGCATGTACATTTCCTTTTTCAGAACTGATTAAATTTTCCTAATTTGTAGGAAAATGAAGAGGGTGGAAGAGCAGGCCTTTTGTCTTTAAAAGCGTATGTATTTCAAAATTTTATGACAGTGTCTTATTTGCAATAGTGTTGCGTTTTGGGATTTCATTAAATGTTTCATTCAGGATGGGAAGTTTTCAGCGACCTTATATGTATAGAAATTTATATGTTTTCTGTTATTCCTCTGAATCAGTTTATTTCAGGGTTCTCATTCTCATATCTCAATATGTAAACCAGTCTCTTGAAAGGTGCCATCTAGTTCAGTGATGCTTGCTCATGTATGCAAAACTGCTTTTCTTACAAGTTCTGTACATATAGAAATATTGAAGTGTATGTCCTTTAAGCTTAGTTTTCTATCTTCATCTTCTTATTAGCCACTCAGTTTTATCCCTCTATCCTACACAGCCCATGAACACAGAATAGCTAAAATTTGATAATGTACCCAAAGATTCCAACTTGAAGAAATAATGCTATTATTAATTAGCTATGTGCCAGGTGTTGTGCTTTATTTATATATACCCATTTAATTCTCCTAATAAACTATGAGGTAGGCACTATTGTTATTCTCATTTTACAGAAAGAAGCACACAGCTGAGATTTGAATCCAGGCACAGACAGTAAGATGTCAACTACAACTGTTTCTCACTCATACCCAGGGTCTTTGTATTTAAGAAAATGGCTGCATCTTTTCTTGTTCAAACCCATATTTAATTCCTTTCATTTATGGCTCATATGCATGTGGTATATAATCTATTGGCTCTTCCTTCAAAGTATATCCAGAATCCAACTACTTACCACCTCCACTACAATCTACATCATCTCTTTTTTGAATTATAATATTACGGTAGACCAAGAACTAGTCTTTTCTTTGAGTCTATTCTCAATACAGAAGCCAAAATAAATCTATTTAAAAAGCAGTAAAATCATACCACTCTTTTGCTCAAAGTCTCCTATGGCTTCCCAACACAAAGTAAAAACCAAGTCCTTATAATGGCTTTAAAATCCTCCCCTCATTACCTGTTTGACCCCACAGACTGGTTACTCAGCTTTGTATTCCCAGAAAGCTCTTCACAAGCTCCCAACCTCATAGTCTTTGCAGTCTCTATTTCCTCTGCTTTAGAACACTTCCTTCGTCTGTCTCAGACATTCAGCTCTTCAGTCAGTCCTCTACTGGTCACCATATTTTAAATCATGATGTTTCCTATTCTTGATATTTCATATTTCCTTCTTTTCTTTTGAATACTTCTAATGTAATGGATGAATTATTCTACTTATTAATCTTCATCATATTTCTCTTCATATTAGAACACAAGACTCAGGAGGCCAGGGATCTGTGTTCTATTTTGTATCTCAACTTCCAGGAATAGTGCCTGACACATTTAAGGAGGTTCTCTGTAAATATGTGTTGCATGAATGAGTAAATGAATGAATGAATGAATACACATAGCCAAGTGCAGTGGCTCACACCTATAATCGCAGCACTTTAGGAGGCCAAGATGGGCAGATTAGGAGGTCAGGAGATTGAGACCAGCTGGCTAACACGGTAAAACCCTGTCTCTACCAAAAATAAAAATAAAAAAAATTTCCGGGCATGGTGGCATGCACCTGTAATCCCAGCTACTTGGGAGGCTGAGTCAGGAGAATTGCTTGAACAGAAGAGGCAGAGGTTGCAGTGAGCCGAGATTGTGCCATTGCACTTTAGCCTGGGTGACAGAGTGAGTCTCCATCTCAAAAAAAACACACGTTCGTGTATGTGAGTGTATATATACACACACATGCACATTTGTATATATGAATAAAAGTGAACTAATTTTTCAGTAGTTGCATATGAAAAACAGAATTGAATGTATGAAATACTATACACCCTGCCTCCATCAGCCATTTGAAAGAAAGTGAGAAGTTTATGTCTTTGAGTAATATGGGATAGCACCTCTCAACACTGTCAGAGTGCTGGCTTCCAGTAATTAACTAATTTCCAGTAATTTTAAGTACCAAAACTTCAAATTATTTGCTTAAAGAAATAAATCAGAGCCTAATAGATTAAATATATTTTGCAATAATGTTACTGTCACTAGGATTCTATTTTGCTTCATTGAATCAAAGGTAAAGAAGTTGCAGCAGACTGCTAGGAATTACCCAATGCTCATTATCTGTTTCCCACAACTTATAAAATACTTTCATGAATACCACACATCTCCAGGCACCTACTCTCCATATATCTTTCCAACACTCAAAATAGTCCGATGTTATTTGTTTTACTTAAAGATCAAAGCATTTTTTTTGTTTACTTCATATCTGAGGTCATCCATGAAAATGCATGAGAAAATTATGTGTTACCGTAGAATATATGTTGAAACCACTGATGTAGTTAGCCCAGGGCGGTGGTGTTCAAAGTGTTATCTAGTGACCCGTGGGGGTCCTGTGACCCTTGCAGAGTGAGGGACACTTGTTTTTTTCTTATTTTTATTTTTTTTAATTGCATTTTAGGTTTTGGGGTACATGTGAAGAACGTGCAAGATAGTTGCATAGGTACACACGTGGCAGTGTGATTTGCTGCCTTCCTCCCCTTCACCTATATCTGGCATTTCTCCCCATGCTATTTCTCCCCAACTCCCTACCCCTTGCTGTCCCTCCCCTATTTACCCCGTGACAGACCCCAGTGTGTGATGCTCCCCTCCCTGTGTCCATGTGCTCTCATTGTTCAACACCCACCTATGAGTGAGAACATGCGGTATTTTATTTTCTGTTCTTGTGTCAGTTCGCTGAGAATGATGGTTTCCAAGTTCATCCATGTCCCTACAAAGGACATGAACTAATCGTTTTTGATGGCTGCATAATATTCCATGGTGTATATGTGCCACATTTTCCCTGTCCAGTCTGTCATCGATGGGCATTTGTATTTGCTATTGTAAACTGTGCTGCAATGAACATTCGTGTGCATGTGTCCTTATAGTAGAATGATTTATAATCCTCTGGATTTATACCCAGTAATGGGATTGCTGGGTCAAATGGAATTTCTATTTCTAGGTCCTTGAGGAATCACCGCACTGTCTTCCACAATGGTTGAATTAATTTACACTCCCACCAACAGTGTAAAAATGTTCCTATTTCTCCACATACTCTTCAGCATCTGTTGTCTCCAGATTTTTTAATGATTGCCATTCTAACTGGTGTGAGATGGTATCCCAATGTAGTTTTGATTTGCATTTCTCTAATGACCAGTGATGATGAGCATTTTTTCATATGTTTGTTGGCCTCATGTATGTCTTCTTTTGTAAAGTGTCTGTTCATATCCTTCATCCAATTTTGAATGGGCTTCTTTGTTTTTTTCTTATAAATCTGTTTTAGTTCTTTGTAAATTCTGGCTATCAGCCCTTTGTCGGATGGGTAAACTGCAAAAATTTTTTCCCATTCTGTTGGTTGCCGATTCACTGTAAGGACAGTTTCTTTTGCCGTGCAGAAGCTGTGGAGTTTGATTAGGTCTCATTTGTCTATTTTGGCTTTTGTTGCCAATGCTTTTGGGGTTTTGGTCATGAAGTCCTTGCCTACTCCTATGTCCTGAATGGTTTTGCCTAGATTTTCTTCTAGGTTTTTTATGGTGTTAGGACTTGTGTTTAAGTCTTTAATCCATCTGGAGTTAATTTTAGTGTAAGGTGTCAGGAAGGGGTCCAGTTTCTGCTTTCTGTACATAGCTAGCCAGTTTTCCCAACACCATTTATTAAACAGGGAATCCTTTCCCCATTGCTTGTTTTTGTCAGGTTTGTCAAAGATCGGATGGTTGTAGATATGTTGTGTTGCCTCCAATGCCTCTGTTCTGTTCCATTGGTATATCTCTGTTTTGGTACCAGTACCATGCTGTTTTGATTACTAGATTTCTTTTGATTACTAGGTAGCATTGTAGTATAGTTTGAAGTCCAGTAGTGTGATGCCTCCCGCTGTGTTCTTTTGCTTAGAATTGACTTGGCTATGCAGGCTTTCTTTTGGTTCCATATGAAGTATAAGGTGGTTTTTTCCAGTTCTGTGAAGAAGGTCATTGGTAGCTTGATGGGCATAGCGTTGAATCTATAAGTTACTTTGGGCAGTATAGCCATTTTCACGATATTGATTCTTCCTAACAGTGAACATGGAATGTTTCTCCATCTGTTTGTGTCCTCTCTTATTTCATTGAGCAGTGGTTTTTAGTTCTCCTTGAAGAGGTCCTTTACGTTTCTTGTTATTTGTATTCCTAGGTATTTTATTCTCTTTGTAGCAATTGTGAATGGCAGTTTGTTCTTGATTCGGCTCTCTTTAGGTCTGTTATTAGTGTATAGAAATGCTTGTGATTTTTGCACATTGATTTTGTATCCAGAGACTTTGCTGAAGTTGCTTATCAGTTTCAAGAGATTTTGGGCTGAGACGATGGGGTCTTCTAGATATACAATCATGTAGTCTGCAAATAGAGACAATTTGGCTTTCTCCTTTCCTATTTGAATACCCTTTATTTCTTTTTCTTGCCTGATTGCTCTGGCTAGAACTTTCAGTACTATATTGAACAGGTGTGGTGAGAGAGGGCATCCTTGTCTAGTGCCAGATTTCAAAGGGAATGCTTCCAGTTTTTGCCCATTCATTATGATATTGGCCATTGCTTTGTCATTAATAGCTTTTATTATTTTGAGATACGTTCCGTCAATACCTAGTTTACTGAGGGTTTTTAGCCTAACAGGCTGTTGAATTTTGTCAAAGGCCTTCTCTGTATCAGTTGAGATAATCATGTGGTTTTTGTCTTTGTTTCTGTTTATGTGGTGAATTATTTTTATAGACTTGGTTATGTTGAACCAGCCTTGCATCCCCGGGATGAATTCTACTTGATCATGGTGGATAAGCTTTTTGATGTGCTGTTGCAGTTGGCTTGCCAGTATTTTATTGAAGATTTTTGCATCTATGTTCATCATGGATATTGGCCTGAAGTTTTCTTTACTTGTTGCGTCTCTGCCGGGTTTTGGTATCAGGATGATGATGGTATCGTAAAATGATTTGGGAAGGAATCCCTCTTTCTGGATTATTTGGAATAGTTTCAGAAGGAATGGTACCGGCTCCTCTTTGTTTATCTGGTAGAATTTGGCTGTGAACCCATCTGGACCTGGGCTTTTTTTGTGTGGTAGACACTTAATTGCTGCCTCAACTTCAGACCTTGTTATTGGTCTATTCAGGGTTTCGATTTCTTCCTGGTTCAGGCTTGGGAGGAGGCAAGTGTCCAGGAATTTATCCATTTCTTCCAGGTTAACTAGTTTATGTGCATAGAGTTGTTTGTAATAATGTCTGGTGATGGTTTGAATTCTGTGGAATCTGTGGTGATATCCCCTTTATCATTTTTTATTGCATCTATTTGGTTATATTCTCTTTTCTTTTTTATTAATCTTGCTAGTGGTCTGTTTTGTTGATCTTTTCAAAAAACCAGCTCTTGGATTTATTGATTTTTTGAAGGGTTTTTCATGTCTCTCTCTCCTTCAGGTCTGCTCTGATCTTAGTTATTTCTTGTCTTCTGCTAGGTTTTGAGTTTTTTTGATCTTGCTGCTCTAGCTCTTTCAATTTTGACAATAGGGTGTCAGTTTTAGATCTCTCCTTGCTTCTCATGTGGGCACTTATTGCTATATATTTTCCTCTAGAGACTGCTTTACATGTGTCCCAGGGATTTTGGTATGTTGAGTCTTCATTCTTGTTGGTTTCAAAGAACATCTTTATTTCTGCCTTCATTTCATTGTTTATCCAGTCAACATTCAAGACCTAGTTGTTCAGTTTCCATGAAGCTGGGCAGTTCTGAGTTAGTTTCTGAATTCTGAGTTCTAACTTGATTGCACTGTGGTCTGAGAAACTGTTTGTTATGATTTCCTTACTTTTGCATTTGCCGAGTAGAGATTTACTTCTAATTATGTGGTCAATTTTCAAGTAGGCATGATGTGGTGCTGAGAAGAATGTATATTCTGTGGATGTGGGGTGGAGAGTTCTGTAAATGTCTATTAGGTTTGCTTGTTCCAGGTCTGAGTTCCAGTTCTAGATATCCTTATTAATTTTCTGTCTGGTTGATCTGTCTAATATTGACAATGGGGTGTTAAAGTCTCCCACTATTATTGTGTGGGAGTTCAAGTCTCTTTGTAAGTCATTAAGAACTTGCCTTATGTATCTGGGTGCTCCTGTATTGGGTGCATATATATTTAGGATCGTTAGCTCTTCTTGTAAAATTGATCCTTTTACCATTATGTAATGTCTCTTTCAATCTTTGTTTCTTTTGATCTTTGTTGCTTTAAAGTCTGTTTTATCAGAGATGAGAATTGCAACTTCTGCTTTTTTTTTGCTCTCCATTTGCTTGGTAAATCTTCCTCCATCCCTTTATTTTGAGCCTTTGTGTATCCTTGCATGTGAGATGGGTTTCCTGGATACAGCACACTGATGGGTTTTGGCTTTTTATCCAATTTGCCAGTCTGTGTCTTTTGATTGGGGCATTTAGCCCATTTACATTTAGGCTTAATATTGTTATGTGTGAGTTTGATACTGCCGTTTTGATGCTAGCTGGCTGTTT